AAAGGGGCGTGCGCAGAGTGCGGGCGGCATTACGCTGTATGCGTTCGTACGAGGTGGCCGCGTCGCTGGTCGCCGCGTCCGTATTTCGCCGCAAACATAATATTATTTGAGTACCTACCAACCGATGCGCTTACGTCACGGTATATTGTAACTCGGCCGTATCTTAGAAATAAATATTACAGCCGTGCGGTACGTAAACATGCGATAGGGCTGCCTGCCTCCAGCATTTTTACATTTGCCCATTGATTTATGTGTTTTATAACTCAATGCATTTTCCTACTTTGTGTTTCCATTTAGTTTTATGATTGTACTTAAATATACTTTTTATATAAACAAATATAATAGGTACTTTGTGAATTGAATAGGAAGTGTTCAATAAAAATGCGTGTCGTTTTATGATTGGTAGATTTAATTAAAAAACCATGTTTATGTTTGAATAACAAATCGGTCTTATAAATTTGCGGCCGAAAAATATTTGCGCCTCGGCTGAGACGTACGAAATGCTTTATTATTAAAATTTTAAATGTAAAAAAATCCGCATTATAATATAAAGCTTAATTAAAAATTGTGTTGTGAAACATGGACAAGTTGGAGTAAAGGAATATCTTTTACTTGGTTATAGATACCTGCAGCTATTTTACAATTTATATGTTTGGTTTTAAATGAAGTTTGGATTTATTATTTTTTTATTTCTATTCTATTTTCTGAAAGGGTCCTAGGAAAGGAATTATCCACCGCGCTGCCCCACTGCGTGTTGGCGAACTTTGCATGTCTTCGAAATATTATTTTTCTTATTTCTCAGACATGCAGGTTTCCTCACAATGTTTTCCTTCACCACTGAGCACGTGGTAAATCAACACTTAAAATTGCAATTACAATATTATTGGTGCCGGCGGGTATCGAACCCGGTTTGCTCGCACACTGTGAAAATTTTAGCAAGCGCTAACCATCTGAGCTACCACGGCTTCTCTCCTCTCAAGCTAGAGACTTTATTTTATTTATCGTCAGGCCTGTTGGTCTAGTGGTTAGTGACCCTGACTGCTATGCCGCAGGTCGTGGGTTCGATTCCCACCCAGGACAAATGTTTGTGTGATGAGCACGATCATTTGTTCTGTGTCTGGGTGTAATTTATCTATAATATTTATGTATTTAGAAATATATAAGTATGTTTATCAGTTGTCTAGTACCCATAACACAAGCTCTGCTTAGCTTGGGACTAGATGGCGTTGTGTGATATTTGTGGAATATTATTATTATTATTTTATTATTGTTGGGGTATCTGTATAGTTTTCTCATCTGGTTGGTTTTTATAAATATAAATTAAAATGAAAAGATAAATATACATAAATATCAATAAAATAAAATAAATACAAAAAATATACAAATAAATAAAGATCCAACCATATTAAATAAAAAATAGTCTCCTATCTTTCTCTCTATGTTTTGATCTCCTAAAACGAGTTTGAGTTGGTAAAATCAAGGCAAACTTAGGGTAGGGTTGTCAATTATTATTTTGATAATAAAACTAGTGAAATTCCGCGGTTTTATATGCGCAAGCGTGAACGTAGTTAGAACATAATATAACCTTTATATTTTACATAAATATCCTAAAAAACTTATTATTTTAATATTTTACTAAGTACCTATAAAATTAACAAGTTTATTGCATTTTTATTTGAGTAATTTTTTATGCAATTTCTTTATCTACGTCTATTTTTAGGAACCTTTATTTAGTCTGTATCATACATAACACTATATTACTGATTTACTTACTTATACGTAGTTTTTTTTGCAGTTACAAATATCTTGTGAGGTTGAAAAAGGCAGTAATGAAAAAATTATAAGAATAATAATAATTGACGTCAGCCACTTCTTTTCATAAAAATTTCAGATCATGGTCCATTAGGTTGCAGCTTCACCGAACCACAACTTATAATAATAATAATAACAATAATAATATAATATTATTTTGTATTTATTTTATTTTATTGATATTTATGTATATTTATCTTTTCATTTTAATTTATAATTTTTATATATTTAAATATTTATATAACCGAACCAGATGAGAAAATTATACGGCTCCAACGATTTTAGCGACGAACGCTTGGATTTATTTTTAGAAAATGTCCTTTTGTCCATGTTTTCAGGCAATAAAAAAAACTGCTACAATATAAGAAGGTAAATTTCGACTAATCATTAACGGTGGTTATAGCTCAGGTGGTATGTCGGTCGGGCGTGATATCGGAGTTCCGTGGTTCGCGTCTTGGCTTTGGTCCCGCTTTTTTCTCCTTTTTTTTTCAAGTTCCCTTCTTTTGTGAGAAAATCTATTATTTCAAACCCTTTTTTTTAGTAATTTTTAAAAATACGAAAATTTTAATTTTAAAAATTAAAAAAAATATCTATTTAGTTACTAATGCTATATTTATTATTTTAATAATTACCTACCCAGTAGGTAAATATTAAAATAATAAATGTAGCATTATAAACAGTAAATCTCCCTCAAACTCAATTTACTAATATTGTTCCTAAATAAGGAATAGCAGATAAAAGATTAGTAGGTAATAACTATTGCTCCTCAAAATTATATTTGACCTCAAGGTAAAACATATCCTAAAATTCAGTAGCTAAATAAAATAATAATAACTACTATTCAAGTATATTTTCAATATGTAAGTAAATGAAAATAACAAAAATGAAGCACCATTAGCATGTAAAGTTCGAATCCATATTTAATATTTCGACAAATATTATAATTTACACTATAAAAAGCTAATTCAATATTAGCAGTATAGTATATAGTTAAAAATAATCAAAATAGTCATTTTTATTAATTAGATAATATATTAGAATACATAATTCTAATATAATGCAACTAATATACCGAATAAAGAAAATTAAAATACATTTATCATTGTACGCCGTGTCTATTTCCATAGAAGAGTTCATTGACATCGAAAAAATAATACTACGTTCGTAGCAGTAGGTGGCGTCTTTTGGCGATTTCTTACGCGATATATTGTAGCGAGCGTCGACAGACCAAACGCTCAAGGTCGTTCGCTGGAGGTAGCGCCTTAATATGGTTCTTTAAGTCTATTAAAATGTCAAAAGTAAAGGTATAAGTAATAATTATTTTTGTTGCAAAAGTCAATAAAATTCTGTTATTCTAGTTTAACTTGTATTTCCTTTTCTCCTCAATTTTAACTTTTAGTAATTTAGTGTTATAAATTTATATAGATATCTTTAGAAATCTTAAATTATCACAGACGTTACACTCAGCGGTATAGAGCCAAAACCGTTTCCTCACTAGAGGGTGTAAGTTTTATAGTATGTAGAGATTTTAACAACCTCCCTGTCCGCGAAAAAGACATAATAGTTAAACAATTTTCAAAACAAAAGTCGATTACAATCAATAATAAATTAAAGTTTATATATATATATATATATATATATATATATATATATATATATATATATATATATATATATATATATATATTTATATGGGCTAATTAAGATATTCGTAAAAGAAGTAATAAGCTTTTAGCATTGTAAAAAAGAAAATATGAAGAATATGTTAAAAATTATGCAAAATAATTTGGAAGGTTATGTCAGAAATTAAATTTCATAAACAGTTCGGAAAGTCATACATAAAGAAACCCAAACAGTAAAAATAAAGTCTAGTAGATTTTTAGTATGTAATGATTACGGATTAGTTGAATCCAACGAGGAAGTTTCTATTGAATTTAAGGTATTTTATTAATATACCATGTTAGACCACAGCAGTTCTTAAATTCTTTTAATAACGTGGCGTTAGCTGACAATGGTAATGTAGTATGTATAAAAAATAATTAATTTCAGACATGTTGATTTCCTTGCCAAGCATGGCAACTATGACCCTATGAAGCAATGTATGGGGAAGGCTTATGTTCGACAGTGGATATTTAAAGCATATTTCCTGAATTAATGAAAAACAGTATGATGATTCCACTTTCAAGTCTGTTGACTCTAAGGCCCCGGCGTTAGGTTTGTGTCTATATTGCCGGTCTTAAGTAAAGTATTTGAGAAGTTGACGCTCAACCAGATGATTTCCTTCTTTAACATAAATAACTTACTCTATGATCATCAGTTTTGTTTTTACTTGGGAGGATTCATAGAATGCGAGATTTATCTAAAGCATTTGATGTGTAAATCACGCAGCATTACTTAATAAATTAAAATATTTCTGTATAAATCAACAAGCTCTTCGCTTGTTGCAGCCCTGCCTTTAATAGGATACAAAAGGTTCAGTTAAATGGCTTCAATTCTACAGGTTCTGTTGAACAAATGGACTTGTACTTGTAAAGGGTGTTTTTGTAAGAGCTTGAGAACGATAAATAATAATACAAGACATACATATTAATGGAAGGATTGTTCTATTATTATAATCTGGTAGATAATTTCATGGCATTTATTTTTTAAATATGATATCCGGAATATGTCGAGTTACATAGTCTATTCTATCAGTCCAATTGTTCACTACTTTTTCTAATAAATCTGGCCGTATACAACTGACTGCTCGTTGGTCTAGTGGTTGTAGTAGTGCGGATGCTGATCTTTGAGGTCTTGGGTTTGAATCCCGGGTCCGGCCAAGAAATTAATTATTGAGTTTTTTCGTTAAGAAATTCTCAATAGCTGCCCGCAGTCATGAAGTTGGCGGTGTCTCACCCCCGTCCCTCGGAAACCACGTAATCCGTCGGATTATAAGAGTGAGGGAATAGAGAGTGCACCTGTGCTTGCGCATACACTTGGACATTATAATCCTGTCCTGCGCCGATGGCTAATCTCCGTTGAGGCTGGCCGCCGTGACCGAAATTCGGTCTGGAGGACATTGTTGTACTGAAATGGTTTTCCGTTTTTGGGTTCTTCTTTTAAATGTTTGTCAAAAGAGCATCATCTATAATGTTTGTGTATAAAAAATAAGGCGTAGATAAAACTTCGATTCATTTCTTTGTCGACAGGAGATAATTTCTGTGATATTAGATTTAGAGAAGCAAGGTCACAAGATCATTCTTTGGAACTTCAACGCGAAGCATCAACAGCTCTTCGAACAATTGCACCCAGCCATGAGGGAGAGGTTTTACACCGGGATCAGTATAGAACAAGAAGTCTTGGGTAAATATATCTAATGTATATTACTGAGACGAGGTAGTAATTCTAAGTAAAGATTAGTCACATTACGATATTTGTATAAATATGATTCCTTTTATTCGACTGCCTTCGAAGCAGGGAAATGTTATTCGAGTGTACTTTGGCGATTCCACAAGGAAGTTATGCGAGGAAGAAAACTTCTTGTAAATCGTAGAATAATTGTTTGAGAATGTCTATAGATTTTAAGTCCGTTGTTTTTACACATTATATATTACTTTGATAAATACTATAGGTCTTAAGATAAAACAAGCGAAACGAGATAATGAATGTAAACATGATATTAAGGTGCGGTAATACTGTCAGATTTCTCTTTGAGATGCGATAGCAGTATTAGAGCGTTTCCAATTAGTGTTTTATTACGTTTAGTTACAAATTCACTATCGTAATAGTTAGTTTTTTTTAATATTATAGAAAATTGTCATTATGGTTCATAGCAAACAATGTCTACTAGTTGGGATTCAAGACTAAAGAAATTTTTAAAGACAGTGCTAAATAGATTTGAGATGAGATTTTGAGATTGCTTTGATTATATACCTGTCTATATAATCAAAGTAGATTTGTTTAAATTTTAGACGTTTTGAATTTGATTATCAATCTTCTTTATATATTTATATAATTCTTCTGTTCTCTTCTTCTTGTGTTTGTCATTGAACCTCTTCTAAACTGCTGGACCGACTTTGATGAATTTTTTTGTGTGTATTTGAGTTGGTCCAACCATCTGGGGTTTAGATTCACAATTGGACCCGGTAGATGGCGCTGTTGTCGAGATTCGGAAATCGCCCGTGCGAAGTCGAGGCGGATAAATAGTTTATAACAAGATATAAAAAAATTGTTTGACCCTGCACGCTAACCCTGGAACTTCCCGTTAATTTAAATATCAAAGCGATCCAAATTCTACCTATTACGCACGCACGCACACATACAGAATTACGGAAATCATCGCAAAAATAGGTCAGGATAGCTTACTTACTCGAAACGTCGAGATCTGATGAGAACTCAATTTTTAAAAACCAGGGTGAAAACAATAAACGATAACGAATAAATAATTGTAATTGTATGTAACAGTAAAAGTTTCTTAACATTCTTTATCTCATTTCGTTACCTACAGATGTTGATTGATGTTGCTGATTTTATGTAAAAAGGAATGCTTCGGTACAAAAAACATACATGTTACGAAAATCCTTTAATTAATTTGTTTACTTTCAGGTGTGGAGATTTTTGAGCAGGCAAGTATACCTGATCCTATATCTACTAATCTTTAGTAATAAATTAGTTATAATCTGTCCTCGTTACTTAAATAAAGTTGATTATGTTTAAATAATATTAATATGAAAAAAGTCCATACTAAAAGTAGTCAATATTGACCATAAATCATATCTTTCAGTGCGACCGATTTAGAACTTTATTACGAAATCAATTAGATTGACATTTTGTTTTGGATCCCTATTTCGTATTACATATTTAATTTATATTTAAAAGTATACCTACGTATGATGACGGCTTGACAGTATGATTGTCAGTATAACTGAATATTTAGTAAAATTCTAGACAATAATAGAAATGAATGAATTTAAGTAATGTTATAAATACGACATGTATTTGTTATATTAGTTATAAGTATATTAGTTATTTTCAATGTTTACTTATTTTAATATTGGAAAGCTTTAACATGGTTTTGTAAGACTATTTGTACCAATTAAACATTAAAATGATTGTTAAATTGTTTTATTATTTAAGATAATAAACTTTGCAGCCTTACGTTAAAGTCCAATGATTGACATAGGAATTATTTAAAGACTTCACAGTCCAACGTCACAGATCAAGCTGTCAGGTTTATTACGTAGGTGATAGACACCTTTATATACATTTACAATTTGGGTGACGAAGGACAAAGCACCACACTTGATAGCAGGTGGATTGTGGATTGTAGATGCTGTGGTCAATAGACATTTATATTTATTTTCAAATAAGCCCCTGAAAATTTGATGGAATGCCTCGTTTCCATTAAAATATGTCAACGGTTCTCTACACTCACTATACGAAACGCAGCAGCATTAAGTGCTATTTCACCAAGGTATTCTGTGAGAGCGGGGTACCGCCCCGGTACCACGTATAAACATGACAAACATGGACACCTTTTACATCTACTTAAACCTGCCTCGCAGGGACAAGGAAGGTTTGTGTCGAACTTGGCCTACCCTTTTCCTTCTCAAGTAAGGTGCACCAGGAAAACACAGCTTGGCTTCCTCCGCGTCCTCTAACTTCACCGGTCTAACGGACTTTCCCGAGTCCGATACGTAGAGGCCATGGGGCTAGGAATGAAAATTAGCACTCAAAAGCACCAGCTTTTCTGACCCCAGCGGCGAATCTGGTCTAAGGCTCCGCCGCCAACCATGATTCGGCTGGGGAAGGTATACCGACACTCTTGTGGGGGGAACAGCTCCACCACCACCGTATCAACGATACGGACCCGTCAGAGTCGCGGAGGATAGCGCGAGTGGCGCATCGCCATACCAACACTCCTCTTCCTCCGCGACTCCATTGCGGCTGCAGCGGTAGGGGGAGAGAACACCCCTCTCACCACAGTCCACCAACATACATCAGAAGTCACTCAACCCGAAACTGAACTCACCCCGAGTGGACACCTCAGGCCGGTCGTGTGGGTTCCTCTTCGTTCACTACGGGTGACCAAGCCACGGCTACTAAGCGCCCCCGCCCCGACAAGGCGGGAACCTGTATGGAGGGAAAAACATGAACACCTGCAGCCAACTGTGAATAATGAAGGCTACATATCTCTTCACCTCTGAGAATTAGAATGGAATGTCTTATAGCCTATTTACTTACTTACTTACTTATCTTCACGCACAATCCCTAACGGGGTAGCCAGAGAGAACAGATCGCCAAGTGTCATGATCCTTACATACCTCTTTCGCTTCTTTCAGGTTCATTAACTTCTTCATACATGCACGTCTAGGTATCCGAGTACTCTTGACCCTCCCCTCTTCGAGCAATTTGCTCACATGGTCTTCGAAAGTTAGTCTCGGTCTACCTCGACACCTTTTAATATTTACTTTCGCTCTATATATTTTCTTCACCATTCGGTCTTCACTCATTTGTTCAACGTGCCCAAACCATTGGAGTACGCCCCTATCAATTTTTGTGATAAGGTCATCTTTCAATCCTGCCATATTGCGAATCTCTTCGTTTCGCTTTCGGTCGGCTATGGTAACGCCACACATTTTACGAAGAGATCGCATCTGCACTGCATTCAACTTGCTTTTATGCTTCTTCTGGCATACCCAGGTTTCGCTGCCATATAACAAAGTCGGTACCAACACTGCGTTATGTATTGCAAGGCGTGCACTCTTCACCACGCCTTGCCTTTTTACTAATGCATTCAGGGCACCATTGACTTTGTTTCCGGCAGCGACACGCCTATCCACATCTAAATCACATCTTATAGCCTATAATTTTTATAAATTATATTGACGCTTTATACCCTGCAGACTGGAACACAACAGTGGAACTTGCCTTGGTGGCAAAGCCCAGAGTCTTCACTCCTTCCGCCTCCGCTCCACGCAATCGCTCCAGCGTGGCCAATGCATAAGATGTAATGCCTCGTTTCCAGTAAAATGGGGCTCCGGTTCTCTACACTTACCCGGTTGAGCCGACCAATTCAAGCTACATTTATTATATAACTGTAGCGAGGCTCCGCTGGTCGTGGTACGCCGGGTAGTGGCGATGTAAGAACGTCCACTATCCCATATCAGCCCGCGGGTGTAGTAAGGGATGACAGGTGGAAACAAATCAGGAGATGGGCCGCAGCGTCTTCCTAATAATGACAACAAAAATACTAGGGTTGCCAACCCGCTTGCTAAGCGTGGCAATTATGGCAAATATCTCCCCTATGAGGCAATCTATGGGGACGCATATCTTCAGCAGTGGATAGACTGTAACGGTAACAGTAACGGTAGTGTAGCTCTACTGCGTATGGTGCACTAATAGTGTCCACTTATACTTGTGATATCATAATTATATACATATTGATTAAATCAATATGTGTAAAGGTACAAATTTTGTAACTTCAGTAAAACATGTATTTTTTAAGTTTTTCTTTTCGTTAAAATTTTCTCACGATGAATTTATCATGACGTGCTCGCTGCTCATTTTCAAATTACCGCCAGGTAGATCTGCGTGGCGTTGAATACCTACTGGCGACAGGAAGCAGCGTCAAGGGTGCTCACGTCTGTACTGTGATCGTCAATCCACTTGCCAAGCGTGATGATTAAAGAAAATCCTCTCTACAATAACAGAGGCTCATTCATAGCTATGCACTTTAACCAGCAAAAGACTTATAATAGTTATATCTCTAAGATATGAAGAAAAAGGAAATGATTATATCAGTTAACTAAAGTTTAATTATTAGCGGATTATGACGTTGGTCAGACACCTTCGACGTCACTATCTCGTGTTAATTTTTATTTTTTTAATAACCAGAATATAAAACATGTAAGAATAACACAAAGCCCTAATGTTCCGTGGGGTAAGAGGCGACAGAGGGAAGCAAACTGAGCAGCAGCAGCAGCAGTAATGACTAAAAATAAAAACTGCGGTTGCCAAACCGTCTGCCAAGCGTGGCAACCTTGGCAAATGTGGGAGATATTTGTCATGAGACAAGATTGCCTCATAGGGATTCCCCATAGATATAGGTGAGGCGAATGTTCAGCGGTGGATTTTGGTAGGCTGTGACCGTAAGCGGAAGTATATATATTTAGCTATTGTTAATTGTTACCAAATCTAGACGGTTACTATACATTATCTAAAAAAGCAAAATAAAAATAAAGCAGAAGTTCCGTCAATAAGTTATTTTTACTATTTACAAAATAACACAGTTTCCGAGCATTTTTCGGTGTAACTGCATACCCTTAATTCCTGTAATGTTCTGGCTGGTAGCGAAAATTACAAAAATGCATCCCTGTTGCGACATCACGCAAAGAGAATAATACCACGAGGCGACATAAGCCCAGTGTTTGTTCCAAAGACGTGAGGGAGATGACAATAGATTCGCCGCTTGCATACAGAGCTTTGCTCTACGCGGTAGAGATCAAAACACGTGGGTAATAAAATACCTTAAGGCACAACCCCTAGCGAACCACCTTAAGCGTTCGGTCCTATACAATCCACGCGCTCTCGCTACAATATATCGCGTAAGAAATACGCCCAAATTTTGGAATTATCTCTATTAACAAAGAAAAGCGAACTTAAGAAATTAAATAAAACGCGAATAATATATATTTTTAAATTACCTATCCATTAGCGTAATCCTCAAATGATTAGAGCGTTGCCTTTAGCAACAGATGCATATAATCAATAATTTTAGTCATTTTTTAAAAGTTGTTTTTAAATGTATATATAACACATAAAAACAAATCCGCACGTGAAGCGTGATCATAGGATATCAAACATTAATAATGTGATTTTAGATGTACTTTATTTCTCATAACTAATGAGATAATAGTTTGAAAAACGCACTATCGTAAGGTTTCGGTCGGGGTATCGCCTTAACGTGACCTGATAACCCGACCATATTTTATTACCTAGATAACAAGTTAAGCGGACAGAGTTTGTTACAAGTCCTTACGTTATTAAACCGAGTGGCGTAAAATGGTGAAGAATTTTAGAACAACAATTGATCTATACAATTCCTGTTTTCTAATAGTGGCTAGGGCTCGTTTGTTGCTCAATATCTTGCATCCAAATCGCAATTCCAAATTAATTTTATAATATTTAAGTTATTACCAACGTTTTTTTTTTGTACAAAATCAGGTCTTAACGAGGTCTACAGTTAATGATTTCCTTATATTTACACGAATTACACAAATGGAATACATCTTATTCTACGGATTTTATTGTTTTCACCACTTGATAGCAGTTCATGGGACTGAGGTGTTTGACGTCCTGGTGTGATAATATTCATAGAAAGTTATCTTGAACTTTTAATTATTAATTTGGTCCGACCGACGTAGAACGAGTTTACAGTATCTCGACGTCTCGAAGTTAGTGGTAGGCTTGGGTATGGATTTAATTTTATTAAGTGATCCCATGCAGATGGTAGCAGCCAGCCATTTTAGTAAAATTATTCCAAGAGGTCTACAGTTGTTAATTTGTTCTATTGGAAACGGATTCATATCAATTTACATCAAATTAGGTCTTAAATGTAATAGACAAAATGATATCGATCAAATTGCTTCAAACTGGAAAT